TTAAGTATTCATATTCCCTCTCTTGCACCTTTTTATCCTTATCGTCCCGATCCAACGTCACTTTTATCCAACTATCTTCAATCTCTTAATCCTTGGCTTTCCAACGACACGTTTCAATAACCGCTTGTCTTCTAGTTGCAACACCTATACTCGCTGGGCACCGTTCCAGCCCAGTCAACAAGTCCATATTCAACCAAGCAGATACTGTCAGTTCATTCATTGCTCTTTGGAGTCCTCTATCTAAGACTGGCATGTGTCAACATGCGCACATTGTTACAGATTGACCAACAGGCAGTACTTGCTCGAACAATAGAGACCCTATCTATAGATATTCGCTGCATACCGGACACTAGCCTGCAAGATCCGAGCTCCATGCTTACCGTGCAATCACACACATGCGACAGTGGCGGAACATTCTTATTGCACCTGTCTGGCGATGACGCAGCTACAAATGCAAGTTAAACCGGTGTAGGCATTGTTTTGAGTCCCCGAGCTGAAGTTGCCATGATGGATAGGATTCCAGCCAACAGCCGGATGGGCGCCGTTAGATGGGCTGGCTCATTCTAGGCTTCAAAGTCGCGCAGAGACAAACGGTGCCTGTTTGTTATTGCGGTATACGCGACCACAAACTGTAGCACTGATTCAGTAAAAAATGAATTCTATCGCCAACTTAATGATACAGAAAAAGTACGGATACTGTGGTGCTTGCTGGTGATCTGAACGCCCAAGTCGGAGAATTGTCCTCTAATGAGCTTCATTTGGGCGGCCAAAATGGTGTAAGCTTCCGTAATGAGAACGAGGAGTGGTTGCTACACCTGTGTGAAGATGCTCGTCTTTCTCGCGAGCACTAATTTTCGACACAGCACTTGCAGAAGACTGATTTGGCGTCCACCAGCCTCGGAGCGGCCACACACTGCGATCAGTTACCGCTAGAGAAGATGCGACAAAAACTGCCGCTCGATTTGGAGCACGAGCAAGGAGTGCAATCACATTCTTGTGTGCGCCGACCTTCGGTTGCGTTTCGGCGGACATCCGCAACGTTGCTGTGAC